CTTTCAACGCTAGTTTCTCATGTTAGGGATGGCCACTGTCCCTTTTTGCATGTTAGAGAGTGCAAAAAAAGGATTGTTCTTTGTGAGACAATGTCACATCTCACTATAATCATCTATCCAGTTTTGTGACTCTACCTGTGGTTTTCTGCTCCACTTTCTTACTTAGGAGACCATATATGCCTATAGAAATTTGGATCATGTTTTTTCAAGGATATAGGGACTCAGCAGGGTCTCCTTTTTCCTCGTCCTGTGATAAACTTCTCTCGGGGTGCTCTGTCAACTTGCCTATCTCCCAGCTGTATTTTGGTCTGACTAAAGTAAGTAAATGCAATATATACTTGGGAATGCTAGAGAAAAGGAGTCAGGTAGCAAAGAAAAAGATAAGATAATGATAGTGCTGAGTTTCCTGGAATCCTACTGAGAGACTGATTTAAGCAAGAAAAACAAAACCTCTTTGCTGCTTCCTTTTCTCTGGATTTGTTGAAGAGCAATCTTTATTTCACCCCAGGTTTAGCTTTACTTCCACTGTCCAGCTTTCTTCTGCTAATTCCTCACACATTTCGTGAATAACACGTGAAAGGACAATGCTGGCTCACATCCAAGGAAAGGATCTTATTTTATTCCTTTTCAAGCCATCCTTTGAGTGAGGCATACTTACCTCAGCCACTGCAAATCAGACAAGGACAGTATCCTTCTTGTCTTCTAAGCTGGATTCTTAAATGTACTTTTGTGAGCAGTTGTAATATGGAGGAAGAAACAAAAGTAGCCAGTAACAGCCTCAGCTTTGCAGAGCTGTTTCGGTGAAAGACTCTTTTCATAGAAGGAGAAAGTGTTTTCAGCACAAGGAGAGAGTTTGCTGATGCTGACGGAGGTTGTGCCCTATGCAAGTTCACAGAGAACAGTCCAGTCTCTCTCCCTCTAGCTCTTTTTTTTAACATGTGCTCTTTCTATGGACACTTTAATCAAACTCCAGATGGGTTGTTTCAATCCGGGGATTTGTGCTGCTGCTCAGGAGATAACAATCCATTGTGCTAGCCTAGGTAGCAAGTGTGTTTGTGATAGCTAGAGCTGATACCAGATGTCCAGGTGGTCTTATTTAACAGGGGGTATTAGTAATACTGCCATTGTCCGGGTAATCAGATAAAAGTGCAGTCCAGGTGTTGTTACCCTACACCATGTTTGTGTAATGACATTGCCAAGTGCTGATTGCTACCTACATTAAATTAGAGACCAAACACTGCAGACGGGACATTCCTGGGTGATATTTCCTGGTGCACCTTTAAAGTAGAAAATTTAACCTGCATATAAACTGGAACACTAGTGAGCATGCACCCCTTGCTCACACTGAGAACAAATTTACTTTGTTAGATGACCCCTCTGTGCAGTCTCTGGCTGTTGCCTGACTTATGCTTAGATTTTCTACATTAAGGCATTTCCTCTAAACTGTAGCACATTTTCTTCTCTGCCCAACTACAGGGTGTATCCAGATGAAAACACTTAGTGGGGACAAGACAGTTTTCAGAAATAGTTTGGCTAGGACAATTCAGTATTCTGCTAGGGACAATTAGAAGAGAGAGTGAATTGTAAAGGTGATTTATGAACTTTAAAGGCAGAAAACAGCTTGGGAAATGCTAACCTGGACTGTAATCTCAGGTGACAAGAACACTTCACAGTTGTTGTTCTGGAACTGTGCCCTGCCTAGCATGGAGATATACCAAGTCTGTGAAGGGATTTGCCACAAGTTATCGCTAGACAATCAAGAAAGAAGCAAGACAGAAGAAGTAACTGTTCACCTTGAGCAAGGGAACAAGATCCTCTATTGTTTTTACAGATACATATTCCCTTTTTCGAGTATGGTATTTAGTAGAAAACATGAATACAGTCCAGGCTCAGAGGTGTATGAGACTTTTGTCCAGACTTCAGAGGGAGTGATCTGTCCCTGTAGGACCATATTGCTCAGGATGGGGATCTGCCACTTCTAGTTTTTCCCAGAGATTTTGGCGATGTGGCAGCTGATGCCTCCTTGTAATTGTAGCAGATGAAACCCACAGCGCTGAGAGGCCACTGTAGTTTCTTTGTAATTGTTTATATAGATAGGATCTAAACTTAGCTACAGAACACGGTGAAAAAAGCCTGGTCAAAAAGAATGGGGACTCAAGAGTTTAGCCTCCAGCTATCTTAGAAGAGGCTGGCTCATCACAGAGAGATCCCCAGCTGCACTTCCAGGCTGCAAATTAAACAAACAGTATTTCCTATATAACAGACCACAGGGATGGTAGAAAGAACAGTGTGACCTTATTGCTGTTATTTCCTTTAGTTTCCATCTCTGTCCTCTGCCCCCCACCTCCTTCTAGACTGGTGTTGCCCACTTTACCCGATTTGTTATTTATTACTGTGGTTTAAAGAGAGGCAGGGGGAAAAATGCTCAGTGCAAATTATATTTTGAGCTGTTGTGCTTTGCCTCTTTGGCGGATAATAAATCTCTCTGGCAGTGCTCTTCTGTATAGGATTTGTCATTAAATGCAATTAAACAAACCCTGCAGGTGTCCATGATCAGGCCTGCAGCAGCCCATTCACAACTGCAATGTTATTATCATCCTGACAACAAAACACCAGATATTTCCTGAGCTCCTCTGATCGATGAGCTTGCCTGATTTGGAACTGGAGGGAGGAGAGACAGAGGGAAGAGAATGGTTCAAATGCTCTTTAGACTTATTGATGGAAAAGTCAAAAAGCTGCTCAGCAATCAGAAAGAGGGAGGAAAAAGAGAATGACAGAGGAACAAGAGGGCTGAACGGAAAAGAAGACAGAAGGGTATCTGGGAACAAAAAGACAGAAATGAGGCAACATATCACATGATATCCATGTAGCTAACAATTTTGTTAAGGTACAAGACTGGAATTTAGGAGAAGCACAAGCAAGGTATTTCAGGTACAATTCTTCTCATGTACCTTTAACCTCTTAACAGTTAGGTATTTAGTGTAAGCTAGTCATGTAGGCTCCCTTTGCAGTCAATGCAAAAATAAGTTCATCTCACCCTAAGATAGGACTTGACTGGTAGGTTGACTTGGTGTCCAGAGAGATCTGCCTCCATTACCTGTAGCTGGAACTTAAGTGAGTAGCTTGGACCAGACACCCAACTAATTGCAAATCTCACCCTTAAGAGCCAAGGAATTGGCTTTTGCTGAGTGCATATTCCTTTCTATCTTCATTCACAAGGATGCATTTCCCGGTACAGAAGGAGAGCATGCTACCGAGTCATGGCTAAAGGTATTTGTAGGAGGCAGATGCAACAACATTTGCACCAGAATTGCTTGTATGCCCTGACAATTGAGGAATAAGAAAATAGTCCTGTGGCTTATTTCAGCCATCCCAGGTGTGAAGGTCAGGGATTCACAGGGGACTGCCTGCCATCAAGTCTAGTGAGACAGAAAATTTTGCAAACACCAGTAAAATTATTCTGCTCGAATCGTTTGCTCACCTCAGCCTCAGGGTGCTCTGAGGATGAACTTCTTTCCTCTTCCATTCTCACCCCAGGAGTCCAAGTTTAGTCCAGTTGATTGCGGCGGCACGTATAGAATTGCAGTGACAATAGATAGCTTATATTTCTATGGCACCTTTGCAAATGCGTAGTACCACAGGAAGAAAGCCATTTTTAGGTTGGAAAAAAGGAGACAAATGAATAGGCATAAGTAGTGTGTGTGCATCTGTAGAGTGTAAGGGATGAAGGTTTACTACTACAAAAAGCTATTGTCAGAGTCTTTGACTAGCATGCAAAGGTGATGTGCTGAGTTTTTAAAGTCTCCTATGAAATACCCAGCAGGGCAAATAGCATGACACTCCGTTTTACTGGCATCAACAGATGAAGGATGAAGTTGAGGTTATGGCAGAAGGAGTCAGAATTTCTGCTATCAATCTGTAATTCTCAGGCTGACAAATTCCCTAGACCATATATTTACATCACTATGCAATGCGGTTCTTTGGCTCCTTGGCTGCTAGGGCAGTCCTGATTTCTGTACTAAAGAATGCCCTCTTTTTCTTACTTTCCTGCTCAAACATTGGAGGATTTCCCTCTGCCACTCTATCTGTCCCTCTTTCCACATACTATTATCACTTAATCTGCTGGTTTGTGCGCACCAATATGCAGTTACCTGGTGACACAAGTCAGCATTGCTCTCTTGAAGCTAGTAGAGCTGCCATATTGCTATGCTAGCACAGAATTTGGCCCGCAGGTCTTTAACAACTAACTTAGGAAGTGTCAATTCACTAGACACATCAGTGGTTCCCCCTTTGTGGTCCTTGGGTCAGGGGTAATTTGCAAGACTATGGAAAGACCCACAGTTAGGAATAATATTTATGAATAAGTCCATTTTTCTTGGCTCCACCTCTGGTCCTCGGCAAAGTTTGAGCGTGACACTGGTCCAGAGCATTTGGAAGCCAACAATGGACGTTAAGCATGACATTGTCTCTTTTTAAGCACCGCTCTAGTTTCTTCTGTTTCACTTAGGTTCTGCCTAGACTCTGCTCTCAGACACATCTGCCTATATCTAGAAACATCTCTGATTTCTTCATCCCACAGGCTGTAGGATTTATACTGGGGTGACAAAGCTGACACAAAGGGATGTGTTCTATTCTAGGAAAAAAGACAGCCCAGCAGACAAGAACTGGCAAGTCTCAGCTGCCAGTCTGAGGAGCCCAGTGACTGTTAATAAGTGTCACTGGGATGGATCTTCAGTGGGCGTAAATGAGCACTAGCTGATTGTAACTCCACAAGGACTTTAGTGAAACTATGTTGATTTACACCAGATGAGCAGCTGGTCCAGTGCTCAGGCTGGCTGGGGAAAGCCCCCTGGAGTTTCCATCAGTGAGTGTGAGAGTGGGGTAGAAGCTAGCTGCATGTGTGAAGGAGAGTAGGAGAGCAGACAGAAAGCAAATACAAGGAAGAATGGGAAATACACATCTTCTTGGACTGACTTCTCCAATGAGTGCATTTTTCCTCTTTCTGCTTCCCTTCTTCCCCACCTCTAGCAGCTCCTCTCACACACTCTCTCTCTGTGCTGCTCATCTCCCTTTGTGCACCTCTTACCCACATGCTCCTTTCTAAACAGGTGCAGTTGCCACTCAATAGACTTTAATTACCACTTCAAGGGCTCTCTCACCAGGGTCTGCTGGGAGGGTGGAGATGAATTTTCCTGAGGATTATGCGTATGTCTGAGTCCTTTCTAGTCAGATGGCAGTATTGCTGTCAGTCTGTATCCTTGGAGAGGTTGTTTCTTCATCTTCTCTCGGCTTGTGTTAACAAAAAACAAAACTGCTGATGAAGGAGAAAAACAACCATTAGCTAGATTAATTATGAGGACAACAAACTGGTCTAGAGAAAAATAATATGGACAATTTTAAAACAAAAACAAAAAAACAGGCGTCTAAGCTGGGCTCCTAAAACATTTTTTCTGCTTGTAAATAAGAGATCCAATTTTCAGAAGTGGAGAGCTCAGCATCTCTAAAGATTTCTGTGGGAGACTAGGTCTAAAAATACAAGTTGTTTTTTACCACTTTACCTTCTTTTTGCTCTATGCTCTTCCCATCACATCTCACCGGAGAAATGCACTGTTAATGCATCCCACTGGTACCCTGGGGGATTCCTCCAGACTGAATGCGTCGGTTGATTTCTTTCTTCAGAATAGTTTGCCTATGATGAAGAGTTATTCCCAATGTTTAGCTAGTAACATAACATTATTTTTATTATTAAGATCCTCTTCAAGAGACAATCCTGGAGACTGCAGAGCAGAAGCGTATGTCTATTGCTTGGATCTGCTTGAAATTGTTTGCACAGCATGTGAGCATGCACTTGTGTATAAATGCAGAAGCACACATGAATGCATGTTGATATGTGCTGATACTTGCAGCACTGGAAAAGACAGGAGCTGGAAATGTTACAGCATCTTTTGGGGAAGGGAAGATTTCCAAGTATTTTAAAATAGCTTTGTTTTTGCTCAACGTTAACATGTTTAAATTTTCTCATAAAATGAAAAGCAGGAAAGAGACTGTTTTATTAAAGTAAATAATGTTTTCTTCTGCCAAAATTTAAAAGTTTGTTTTCCTAAACAAGCAATTCAGCAAACTGGGGAAACAGTGTAGCCAAATCTGCATTTTCTGCATATGTGTTTTCTGTGAAATATTGTGCCGTGTTCCAAAAGGATGTAGTTATGCATTAGAAATTAAGAAACTACATCATCTGTAAAGGCTAAAGCTCAGAAGACCGACTACATTGATATAAACAGTTACCCTTATATTGCTGTCCATGGAGCTGGGCCTGGCCTGCTCATATCCTAGCCCCAGCTGGTTGGGCACATGCAACATTTGGCTTTCTGTTTGGAAAACACTTTTGTATTGGTCCCTGAGCATGCCCTAGCGTCCATGCCAGAGGGCAATACAACACAGCGCGCTGTGGCCTTAGTGTCCGTGTGGGATACAGTCTGTGCTGAGCTCTTCGGCATTCATGCCACTGAGCCAGCTTGTGTTTCTGGGTTAGTATCCAGGCAATCCTTATCCCTTGGGTATTAGCAACCACACAGTGCGATTCAGACGCTGGGCTGAGGTTCTTACGTGTAGTCATGTCTATGCACCTGAATGGCATTAGTTTCCTGTCCAACAGTCTGCCTCTGTGCGCTGCTGTCTGCACTCAACTCTGGTCTTTCATGGGTATTTGCAGTATAAAGACAAAAGCGGTGAAAGAAGGATAGGCAGACAACACTGATGGGAATATGCTAGTAAAAAAGCAGAGTAATCGTAATTGCACCTCTGTCTTAAGACATCACTTTAGTCTCTGCCTGGGAATGTTCTCCTTTCCTTGGCTCTAAGTGCAATTGTGACATATTAAAGTAATGCGCATGGCAACATGGACTCAGTGTGGGACAATGCCACCATCGGTCGGGGTTGCCTCTGGGAAAAGGAAGAGGCTCGGTGAGATGCCGACAGTAGAATTCTGCCTGTGCAAGTGCAACGTGTCTACAGCACCTTCTCTAGGCTTTCTCCTCATTGAGGGGGAACCAGTCTCCTGTTCTTCCTCTACTTCTCCATCAGGAATCCTGCAGTCCCTCCCTCACCTATTCCTGACTTCCCTGGCCTCCGGAGTTTTGCCAGCCCTCCTGACTGCCTGTTTCCATTCTCGTTTTCCCCAGTCATCTCAGCTCATGTCCTTCTACTTCTCACTGTAGCTCTTTCTTTAGACGTCTAGCAATGTGGGGTTTGGGTTTTTTTTAATCCTTCTGTCTTCCTCATCTCTTCCTCCCCCCTTCCTCTGCTTGTTCACGTTGCTTTCCAGGCCCATCTACAACATACTATCCTGCCATTTATGTGGGACTAGGATGAACATTGATCACAGCCATCTCAAACCCATCTCTCTCTTTTCCCAAAGAGCCAATGAAAATGTCACCCATGAGATAATCATCATGTTGCTCACGTCCCTTAATTGCTCTCAAAGTACACATTGAGGCTGCAGAGCCTCTTTGAAAGGCAGGTTCTGGCCTTTGGCACATTATTGACAGGCTGTTGATAGGCCCCTTTGTTGACGAGCAATTTTGTCCCTTTTGCTGTACAATTTTTTTTTTTTTTAAACAGCCCTTTCAGAGAGAGTAGATTTTAAAAATAGGGCTGAGCGCTGAATGAACAGGCACCAGACTTATTCCTGAGAAGCAACGACATACATGTGAGATGAGAGCTACCAGCATCTTTCATGCAAGACTCCATACAAGAAATCAAAGCTAAGATGACTGATATCCTCATCCCTAGTTGTTTTTTGTTCCTTCTCCTCTTAGCCCTGGTAATTAGATGGTTTTTTGCAGTGTATTACTCAACCAGTACATGTCTTGTGAGGTCCAGTGCATGGTCCGTGGTAAACAAGTTTAACAAGTTGATGGGGCAACGCATTTGTTTGATGATTGGTGATAATTCTTGTTTTTCTAATGCCTGCTGATTAAAATTGACTAAAATTCTCTCTGTCACAGCAGCCCTTCAATGTCTGAAAAGTCACACAAGTCTGGGGCATTTGCTAGCGTGGGACTGCATGCATGCCTGCTGAAAGGGAACACTTGAAAACAGAACAAAGCACGCATCCTCTCCCATTACTGTCACAGGTAGAGATCCTCCATTAACAGTGCAGAATCTATGACACACAGCTGAACAATTCTCACATCATCCACTGGATTCCAGTAGTACACACGCATGCTTACTTAGCTACCGCTTTAATACAAAATTATTATAACATGCCTCACGTAAGCTGGAGTCCCATTGCAATGGATGCTGCATGTACACCTCAAGTTAGCCCTCGACAAGCCTGTATAGCTAGGCTCCAGTCTCCGCGTAACTAGACTTTAAACACAATCCTTAGCAAAATCTCCAGGCTATATGCAACCGAAAACCAAGCCTGAAAGAAATGAAATTCTTTCCTCTCTGAAACAATGTCCCTTGGAATGATTTTGCTACTAATGAACCCCAACTGAGCTGCTGTATTTTGGAGCTACTGGTGTGCATTTTAACAAGGAACTCTCTATGTGTGGATGTGCATCAACATCGCCAGCCCCCATAATGGAAGTCTGTTCAGCATTGTAAGTCCCGCATTAGGCTGTGCCTGTAGAAACCCTGGGAAGTGCCACTGAGACTGCCTGAAGGTAATCATCTCTCCCAGCCTCCAGGCTGTCCCTAACCAAGTGCTCTGCTTGCATCTATTCCAGGAAACAGCTCTGGAGATTATAAAGTGTAGACCCTATTGCATTCACTAGCAACAAGGGGGGGAAGTGCCATTTGATTATGGATGAAAAGGAAAAATGCAAGGGGCTTTGGTATTCAGAAAAATGCCCAGCATGCTGTGATTTGGTTGTTGGGCTCTGTAAGTGACTGGAAACCCTTGAACTTCATTGTTTTCTCTCCGTCAGTATAGCCAAATCATAAGCAGTACTTGAAAAACATGGTCCACCTAGAATTTGTTATCATAGAAGATGCATCTTGGTACTTCCTGTTATAGAATCCACTTAAATACCTATTTTTTCGTGTAACAAGCCCACATTTCACAGGGAGTAGAACATACATGTATATTTAGATCACTGTATGTTACACAGGATGGAGTCTGTTTTATCAAAATTCTATCAAAATCCTATCAAAAGGAGTTCTATCAAGCCCATTCCCTCGTTCATAGCCCAGCAAAAGAATATCCTGCCTGTCTAAATACTAGAGCTGGGTTGGAAAAAAATCAGTTAATTTATTTTTAAAAGTTGGGAATTCAGCATCTATTTTTCTGCCTACCTGCACTGCACTTTGTCAGGTTCTGTAAAAGCTGTGCACACCTCTGTTGCCAAACACACCTTCATCAACATGTAGTGAGAACTGTGCTAAAATAAAACATTATCTGGATAAGATGGAGCAGATTAGAAAGATGATAAAAGATAAGCTAGGAGAAAATAAGACAATAAATAGGTCTGGCAAGATAGATGGATAATCTTCCTCTCAGGCCAAACATGACGAGATAATAACCTTTTCTTCTCTCTAGTTCCATTTGCTCTTGGATCTCTAGAGCTCTACAAATGTCACTTAATTCGATTGTCTAGTACCCCTGTGAAATGGGTATCACAATGTCCATTTTTACAGAGAGAGGAGCAGAGGTACATTATTTAGGAATAGGTTTAAGATTAGCATTGCAAAAATCAACCAAACTGTTCATTTTTGTGCTTTGGTTTTAGCTGTCACAGTGCCTAAGGCCATCTGATACACTGAAGACAAGTGAGCCTGATAAAATCAGAAAGCTACAGCCACATTTTCACAACTCACCTCTGCCACGATGTTTGCACAGCCAAGCCAGAGCAGGAGCGAGTCTTCACTTTCTTTCAGAGCGTATGCATATTCCCTCACCGTTCCTGTTACCAGCTGGCAACAGTGACTACACAAGGGGCAGGTCGCAAGAGCTAGGCAATGTTCAGAGCTAGATGCAGCTGCTGTGACTGCGCAGTTCTCCTTCCTCTCCCTTATCATGTTGTGATCTGGACAGCAGACGTTGCACCTGGCAATGTTAACGGAAAGAGAGGCTCAGAGTAACTTTCCTTCTGTCCCCTATCCCTTCAGCATATCTGCTGTCTAGATTATTTCTGAGCAAATATAAACAACCTCTATAAGCAATTGATAAGCTTGTTAAACATTTGGGATTATGACAGCACATCCTGATTCAGAGAAGGCTTGTCTGTACTGCCATTTGCTCTCCTTGCTCAGGAAAAAATGCCATTGCCTCTGCTGGATCCAGTGCAAGGTCTGAGTTCACAGCCTGTGAAATATTGGGCCCTTTTCTGGAGCATTTGCCTTCCAGATGGTAACATCTTAATTGAATGGGAGGTCCTAAGTGAAGTTTTCCATTGCTTCATGTCATTGATTTCTCCCTGTACATTCTACTGGCAACACAGAGCAATGGAATATTTGATTAGACAGAATTACAGACCACAACATTAATAATTTTGTGAGTTTAACTGAAAAGATTTGCAATTGTTCTCCCCAGTAACTATGCAATTTTCTCCTTCTTCTCAAGAGAAATGCTCCTTTCTATTTTAATGGCAGGGTGTATTGTCATCTTAAGGCAGCAGGTACTGACTATTGCTTCTGATTTGGGGAGCTTGGATCCATACAATTTTCATTTCGGCTCGATTCTTGTAGGTGGAGTGTTCATCATGGTTCTGGATTTTCAAAAGAAGTTAGCAATTTTGGATGCCCCATATTTGTGTTAGACATGCTTTGAAAGGGACCGATTACCAGAGGGGCAGGTGCTTAGTAGTCCCTAGAGATGGAGGCTAATGGAGATATCTCATGCTGGGCACCTGAAAGTGTTAGATGCTTCTGAACGTTATAGGGAGTGGGGGATCGTTTCTGAGCATGAATTGGCAACACTGTACGGGCTTAAGCAACTCAAGATAAACAGATCTTTGCCCAGCATTATGGAGACATCCTTGACTCCTCAGTTTAGCCAAGTGTTTTACTTTGGGCATGTATTTGATTCCTGTGGGAGTCAAGCGCTGAAGTTTCTGCAAGAGCGTTAGTATTTTTCTGAAGTGGGGCCTGATGTTGTGTAAATTTCTGAAGGTTCCTTTTATGAAAATTCCTCACTCAGTTTTCCAATTGAAATAAAATAAAAAGGCAAAATTCTCCCCTCCATCCCGAAGTGTGATGCTGAGTGGTAAGGTACCACAAGGCTTTGCTGGCTTTCTGCACATTCATACATTCACATGTAGAGCAACAGACTGTACCATGAAATGTCTCTTCTTTGCACTTCATAAAAGCCCAGAGCCTGACTCATGGACTGTGTTAGGTGTTGAGCAAAGACAAAACAAAATATCCATGCCCCAAAGAGATTACAGTCTCATGCAGCCAGGCTGCTCACAGTGATGATGTAGCTGTAGGGCTTGAATTAATGCAAGATTCAGCATGGCTGCAAACATGTACTTCAGTGACAAATAATCACACAAATAAAACCCACCCAGCTCCTCCCCTTGTTAATCAACTTATTCGAAAAATCGTTGCCTGGCAACACTTGTTAGAGCCTCCCCTCACTGCTTGGAGGTTGTTGAAGGCAAAATCCTCGTATTGACCCTTGAAACAGTTGCACTTCTGCACAAACAGCCGTGTGGTCTGTTTATAAACAGGGTAAAACTGAAAACTCTATACTCATTATACACTAGGGAGGGGGCCAGATCTCATAATCGAAACTCACAGGAGCCATCTGGTCTCTGCAAATAAGGGCTACTGGAGTCAGGGTGTGAGCTTGTAATGACTGTAGAACGTGAATAGCCCTATTCACACAGGTAGTATAACAAGTACGAAGCTACTAGCATGCTTAAGGCCCTGCTGAGTCAAACAAAAATGACACTAAGGGTTTTTTTCTTGCTCTAGGGTCAAGCCTATAACTACGGGACCAAGATTCTTCTTTTATTTTAAGGCATGGGTTGAGTGTTTTCTATTTGTACGGCAGTCAGGACAACGCATACTCCGTCCTGATTTGCCAGCAGTGAACTATGGCTAAGATTTTCAAAGCTGCTTGGAGGGCAATTCCCTTTTATTTCAGCAAGTACTGAAGACTCCAAATATCCTGGGCAGCCTTGGGATACTCAGACACAAATATCAATATTGAATATTGTGTTAACTGCTCCTTAGCTATTTTTTTCTCTTCCTATACTTTCTCTAGGCTTAAATTTAGATAATTTTATAAATTAAAATGCCAGCATCTATTTTACTAAAGAGAAGATTTACAAAGATATTTCACCATCTAAAGAAAGATCATTTTAATAAAATTTACCAATTAATTTGGAAACCAACTCCCACTGATTTTGAAGTGTGTTATATGCCTGAGTTGTTTTACAAATCCCATCAGGACCCTAAGTTTTGTTCTAAACTCACTCAGTTTTAACGAGGTGTTAAACAACGATGTACTTTGAGGCCGCATTATTGAATGATCAGAACTGTCTTTGAAGGAAGGCCTACCTAAGCTACAGAAAGTCTACATCAATTTCGTCATCTGCTTTTCATCTCCTCTGTTATTTCTTTTGCTTCCCTAATAATGGACTGCTCTGGAGGGTTCTGAATTTAGTATCTTAACAGACAAAACTTCAATTGATTTCAATGAGTAGAAAATCCAAATTCTTTGCTCAGAGTTGTTCCTTAAGAGCTCATTGCAGCCCTCATTCAGCAACCTAAATCTGGCTGAAGCGTTTGCTGAACTGGTAGGATGGATGCATGTGCTTAAAGTGAAGCGTGTGCTTAAATGCTTGGTTGAGCTGGGGCCCTTGTGTCATGTTGTCCAATGGAGAAAATCAGGTTAGCTAGGACCACGCTTGTGTCGCAGTGCAGTGGTGGACCATGGCGCACGCAGACACACACATATGCTTAGCGCATATACATGCAGGTGTTGGAAAGATACTGAATGTAAAATTGCATGTGAATGCAGGTGTCTGTAGCAGGCATAGTACCCGGCTCTGCATGCCAGGTTCAGGTGTCTGGGGCTGAACAAATCTCTGCAAAAGAGAGATCCTAGACCTGCTTATCCAAGCTCAAAAGCTATTGCAGATCTTGCGTCTGAAATCCACTCTCTTTTTACTGCTGATATTCCCAAGCACCTCCTAGTTTCCCAGCTACTCACAATCTGAAACCCTACCAGATGCCATGATTGCAGTGGAAAAGCAGCTCATTACTGGAGTGGCAGGCGACGCACAGACAAATATTTGTGCAAGGCATACAGAGCCCGGAGACTAGAACACATTGTCTCTTTGATGGGAGGAGGAAAGGGGAAGGAGGACTTTGCCTGTAGCAAAATCAAATAACAAAAATCTATACGGTGTTTATTTCTAGTAACCTCATGCCACCTTGATTTTCGGTTTACACCTTTTGCTAAATATTTTAAGGGTCAGGAATTAAAATGAATTAAGTTCAGATCTTACCCTGAATCCTCAGTTCTTCAGAGACCTCTGTGTGTTAAAATTTCTTAGAAAAGAGACAGGATTGTATCCTTCTATGAGCTGTGCTTGTTCTGAGATCTACAGAAAATTGCTAGTAAAGAAAGGTGACAAAATATGCTCTAAACAAATTGAAATGTGACTTTGATTAAGTATTACATTGCACACAAAACAAGATTTGGTCAACGTTGAGGATATTATACCATCTATCCTAATAATTTTTATATTAAATACCAGATCTGATTAGGCAATTTCCCAGAGAATACAGAGATAAACTCCAAAATGCAGGAACAGATATTTGGTGCAATATAATTTTCTAGCTTCTCCTCAAGTTTTTTTGCATGCTTACATTGGGGCATATCGTTGCATTGCATGCAAACGATAAGGGGCATGATTTCTTGCCCTTATTTTACAGCTGAACTTCAAAGGAAAAAGACGTTACATTGGTGTTATAAGAGATAGGACATTACAAAAAATGAACCTCAGTATTATGTTACGTTGAAGAAAGACCACAGATTGAGTCACTGTGCAAACAAAGAACTGATGGGAGATGTTAAAAGATTTTAACAGGAAGATATTTCTCTATTCACATTCTGCAGACAAGCATTTCCACAATTAGTTTGTTCAAAGTATATAACGTATTTCTATGAAAGCTGCATGTGTATTCAGGGCCTGAAAAGAAATATCATTAACTTTCTCTTCAAGTGTTTTTCTTTCTTGTATTTTTTCCCAGTATGTAATTCAGAAACAGCAAATACAAATTTCCTTAAAATGGAGAACAGCTTGTTTTATTTTCCCCATAGAGACCAAGAATATTTAAGAAAAATACAGGTGTAAAGACAGGAGATAGGGGCAGTCTGAGCCTTGGATTATTTTGCCTTGTTGAGCTTTTGTTTAGCAAAGTGCTTAAACATATGCTTAACAGAGCTGGGTGAGTATTTTCAATGAATAGGGATTAATTTAGTGAATAGTCTCAGCTTCCAGAAATGGAGAAAAGATAAATGCAGCAAAGCTTTTCATTTGACAATAGCAATATGAAATGCTTCATTTCCAAAGTGCTGAAACACTTCACTTTTTTTTTATCTTTTTTATTTTTAAGTGACATTAGTGGTTTAATAATCTAAACATGAAAAAAAGTTTTCAGATTTGTTCACATTTCTAAAGTCAGCCAGAGTTAAATCTTTTGTTGTTTTAGTTTTGTCAAAATTAAAAAAAAAAAAAACTTTGTTCAGTTTGATCCCACCGGGTTTGGGGGGGGGGGGGTTAAGCACTTTGTGGAAAAAAAATCTATTTTAATATAATCCATTGAACTCTTCAATGTAACACGATCTATCAGCAAACCCTAAATGTACCCCTAAAGCAAGATATATTTTGAGTACTCAGATAGAATGAACTACTGAAGGAAAATATTTTAAAATAAGTGTTCTCTGAAGAATTTACTCTCAGCAGCATCCTAGTGAAATATCCTATTTCTCCAACAAATTGGAGAATTTTAAGAACTACTCTACGCATGAACATTTATATTAACCTACCAGCCAGCCACATTTTTAAAACAATA